AAGAAAGTTATAAGAGATCCAACAGTTCTGTTTCTCCAAATATTCAATCAATTGATCCAACACCATTTCATTTATGAAATAATCCTGATTTCTTCATTTATTTGCAAGTTACCTTCATCATAAAACCCATGATTATGTCTGGCCTGCCTTTGAGAGTCCATTTATCTGTCTGTGATGTGTATGTTTTAGTATTCCATAAGGGCTTGCTACCCCCCAATTACTCTACTTTTTAAAAATTTTGTTCAGCTATTCTTGTTTATTTTTCCAAATAAAAATGACATCTAAATAAGCCATTTAGCTGTAGTTTTTGAGCTCGGTTTCTCTTATTCAACATAATACCCTCGAGATACTTCCATACCGTTGCACGCACCAATAGTCTGCGCCCTTTGTTGCTGACTAGTATTCAATGTATGAGTGTGACACACTTTATCTATTCCCCACTTGAAGGACACTTAGGTTGTTTCCAATTTTGATAAACTGAAATCTGAACAAAGCTACTACCAACATTTCAGGTTTTTATTTAAACATAAAGTTTATTTTCCTTGAGTGTACACTTGGAGAGAAGTTTCCAGATTATATGGCAAATGTAAGGTCAATTTTATAAGAATAAAGTGCTCTTTGGTTTGCCTCCCTCTCTGATAAGGTAGGTAAAACATTATAGATCTTATGTCAATGATACCTCAGTAAAAAAAAATTTTTAAAAATACTTTTTTCTTAAAAAAATCCTCTTGGTATTTTCATTAAGATTACAATAAACTGGGGTGCCTGGGTGGCTCAATGGGTTAAGCCTCTGCCTTCGGCTCAGGTCATGATCTCAGGGTCCTGGGATCGAGCCCCACATCCGGCTCTCTACTCTGCGGGGAGCCTGCTTCCCCCTCTCTTTCTGCCTGCTGCTCTGCCTACTTGTGATCTCTCTCTGTGTGTCAAATGAATAAATAAAATCTTTGTTAAAAAAAGATATGCATAAAACTGACTGCTGTTTTTAGGGAGAAATGACATTTTTATGCTGTTGAACATTCCCATTCAATAGTCTTTTCAGGGACGCCTGGGTGGCTCAGTTGGTTGGACGACTGCCTTCGGCTCAGGTCATGATCCCGGGGTCCCGGGATCGAGTCCCGCATCGGGCTCCCAGCTCCATGGGGAGTCTGCTCCTCCCTCTGACCTTCTCCTCGCTCATGCTCTCTCTCACTGTCTCTCTCTCAAATAAATAAATAAAATCTTTAAAAAAAAATAGTCTTTTCATTTATTTAAATTCTGTGTATATTTGTCCCTTAGGAGGAACTTAGAGTTTTTCCTTCCTCCCTCCCTTCCTTCCTTTTCTTCCTTTATTTGTTTCTTTCTTTTTAAGATTTTATTTATTTGACAGAGAGAGAGACACCGCAAGAGAGGGAACACAAGCAGGGAGAGTGGGAGAGGGAGAAGCAGACCTCCCGCTGAGAAGAGAGCCTGATGCAGAGATCTATCCCAGGACCCTGGGATCACGACCTGAGCTGAAGGCAGACGCTCAACCAACTGAGCCACTCAGGTGTCCCTACAGTTTTTTCAATATCCATTAATTCAGCAAATATTTAGTGAGACCCAATTCTGTGCCTTGAGAATTTGGAGTTTGGAGATTTAAATTTGGAAGTTGTAGATATCACTAAGAAAGAAATTTAGCATGTCCCGAGTTCATACACTAGGAAAGTATATGTAGAAAAGAGATACAAAAAAAGTGATCCCTAATATAAGACACAAATAACCAGAAAAGAAGCTAAGAAAGATCCCTCAGTTAAGGTAGAGAAAAACCAACAGACTATGACATCATGAAAGTCAAAAGAGAGGGGTGGGAGGGAAGGAGGGGGAGAGAGAGAGAGATCAGTCATGACAAACAGATAATTAACTTTTGAAACTACAGCAATTGAATCATTAGTCCACATTAATCCACAGAGAAAGGCTTGGCAGGCCCATCTTCATTTCTTAAATATTTGGTCATTTTGTTCAATGCCACTTAAAAAAAAATCCATTCTTTCTCCATGATTCAATAAGCTGTCACTATACCTTAAACTATCTTTGAGTCTATTTTTTTTTAAGATTTTATTTATTTATTTATTTATTTGACAAACAAGGGTCACAATTAGGCAGAGAGACAGGCAGAGAGAGAGGAAGGGAAGCAGGCTCCCTGATGAGCAGAGAGCCCGATGTGGGGCTCGATCCCAGGACCCCAGGATCATGACCTGAGCTGAAAGCAGAGGCTTTAACCCACTGAGCCACCCAGGTGCCCCTGAGTCTATTTATTTATTTATTTATTTTAATATTTTATTTATTTATTTGACAGAAATCACAAGTAGGCAGAGCAGCAGGCAGAGAGAGAGAGGAGGAAGCAGGCTCCCCGCTGAGCAGAGAGCCCGATGCGGGGCTCGATCCCAGGACCCTGGGACCATGACCTGAGCCGAAGGCAGAGGCTTTAACCACTGAGCCACCCAGGCACCCCTATTTATTTTTTTAAAAAAGATTTTATTTGAGAGAGAGAGAAAGCATAAGAGGGGGGAGGGTCAGAGGGAGAAGCAGTCTGGCTGCTGAGTGGGAAGCCCGATGCAGAGTTCAATCCTGGAACTCCAGGATCATGACCTGAGCCAAAGGCAGACACTTAACTGACTGAGCCACCCACCCCTCTTTGAGTCTATCTATGTGTTTTCTATCAAATGACCATCTATTTCTCTACTAAAAACTAGACTATGTATTTCTGCATTATGCATAAATTTATTTCTGCATTTGTCATAAATATATACCTACGTTATAAGACCTAGTGAGAAAGGTCCTGCTCATAGTTCTTATTTTTCTAAATTTCCTTGCTTGATTTTAATTCAAGAATGTATTCTTTTGGATAAACTTTAAATCAATCTTCATTAGAATACAGATTAATTTAGATGGATTTGGGACTAGTTGACATTCTATTATTATTATTATTATTATTCTGTTCAATTAGCCAACATGTAGTACATCATCATCATCTACATCAATTACATCAGTAGTTTTTTGTTTTGTTTTGTTTTAAAATTTTATCTATTTGACAGAGCGAGAGTGTGAGCACAAGCAGGGGGGGTGGCAGGCCGAGGGAGAGGAAGAAGCAGAATCCCTGCTCAGCAGGGAGCCTGCCCCGGGGCTCCCCACCCCCCCAGACCACGACTCAAGCCAAAGGCAGAGGCTTAATGGACTGAGCCACCTAGTGCCCCCATCATTAGTTTTGGATGTAGTGTTCAACGATTCATTAGTTGCATATAACACCCAGTGCTCATCATCAGCACACGTGCCCTCCTTAATACCCATCATCCAGTTACTTCTTCCCCCCACCCCCTCCCTTCTGTAACCCTCAGTTTGGTTCCTGGAGTCCAGAGTCTCTCATGGTTTGCCTCCCTCTCTGATTTCCTCCCATTCGGTTTTTCCCTACGGTCCTCCGCTCTATTCCTTATGTCCCACATATGAGTAAAACCATATGATAATGGTCTTTCTCTGCTCAACTTATTTCATTCAACATAATCCCCCCCAGTTTCATTTCTACAGTGTTGATTTATCCCATATAAATATATGATTTAGCCCTCTATCAATTCAAATTTTATTTTGTACTTACCAATAAAATTTTAGATCTTTACTATCACCTGAACACTTAATAGTGAGTCTAGTGGACTTGGTAGGCATAAAACCCAGGTGTAAAACGAGCCAACAAGTAAATTAAAATGCTTAAGTTCAACCATTAGGCCAGAAATGAGCCAGAACTCAAACCCCTGGCCTCTTAGCATGTCCCAAGTTCAACACCCTCAGTGTGACCTTATTGTGCTTGCATGGCCGAGGAAGGTAGAGAGAGGTCACCTGCTACGCTACTTTTTTTGTGGGAAAAAAAAAAATGCTCCTTGCTGGAGCCCAGCACTGCTCTAGTCTCCAGGAAATAAAGGTAAAACCTACTCCCTGCCTTGTAGCTTCCTAAATACAATTGCTGGTTAGATGCCTTTGGAAATGGGCTCAGAGTGTTCATGACACTTGCCCCGGGTGACACATCCTGCAAGTAAGATTTAGGAGCCTGAGCTCGCTGCAACAGCAGCATTCCCTCTGGGTTAGTTTCCTCCATCCACTCCCTTTCTCCCTTCCTCCTGAGCAGGACTGCTTGTGGGGGCCTCATTCCACTGGCAGAACCCAGGAACAGCAGTGGAACTGGGTGTTTCAGCAGAAAAGCCAGCCTCAGGGTGCCTGGGTGGCTCAGTGAGTTAAGCCTCTGCCTTCAGCTCAGGTCATGATCTCGGGGTCCTGGGATCGAGCCCCACATCGGGCTCTCTGCTCAGCAGGGAGCCTGCTTACCCCCCTGCCCCTGACTGCCTCTCTGCCTACTTGCATCTCTCTCTCTCTCAAATAAATAAATAAAATCTTTGAAAAAAAAATAAAATAAAAAGGCCGGGCTCCTCAGAAGACATCCACCTAAGAAACATAAAAGGGTGGCTGCCCCTTGGAGACAGAGAGGCTTGCAATAAACCTCCTCAGGTTATGACGCTAGAGTCCACCCTCTAGTGACCAGGGTGACATTTAAGGAGCTAAACACTCTGCAACTGGGCCAGCACCAGACTCAGCCACAGGCTACATGGGCAACATTCTGACCCATCCAGAGTGGTGAATCCTGGGGTTACATACGTGTCATTTAGTCCGAACACAGAATCCCCTTTACAGATGAGAGACTCGCCTGAGAAAGACGAATCCGCTCACACCCACTCCTGATTCAGCCCAACTCCAGTCCCCATGCTCTCGATGACCACGTGTGTCACCCACCTCAGCTGTGTCCCGGGACCCCCTGCCAGGCCTCTCATGCTCTCTGCAGAGCACACAGACACGGGGCACGCTGAGCTAAGCTGCAGTTACTTTATTACAGCGAGCCTGAGAGAGACTGATGGAGGTGAGGACCGGTGTCGGGATTCCAGCTTCACGTGTGAAGAACAGAGCAGGGGACAGAGCCCAGACTGGGCATCTGGGACAAAGATTCATCTCCACAAAGAGGCCACGGCATTCTTCAGTGGGACCATGGCTTCCAAGAGGCACTGGTTGCTGGTGGTGATGGTAGTCTGGGAGAGAGTAAGATGAGGGGGGACAGAAGACCTGAGCACCAGGCAGAGTGATCCGTCCCCCCAGGATCACCCCAAGGCCCATCCTCGGTGACTGAGCTCCGGCCCCCAGACGGATGGCTGGAGAGGAAGCTGCTATCTGTCAGAATGGGATAAAGAGGACTCCCTGGTCTCCCATACACAGATATCAGGAGGGAGTCTGAACCCCCAGTGGGGAAGACCAGAGTTTCAGGAGGTTGTGATGGAGGCTGGGCCTGAGCGAAGAGCAAGGGGGCCGAGGCTGGGTCAAGGCCTCCTGCCTCTGCCTGGCATCTGGCAGGTGTGGGGGGCTGGGGGATGGGGGTGTGGATGCCGACTTGGTGAGTGGTCTCCTGGGCCCTGTGCACTTCTGTGAACCCAACACATTCTGCTTCTTCACAAAGCTCGCCTTTGGCAGAATCGACACTTCGGGAAAGACCGAGTAAGACACAGACTGATCCAAATCTACCTAACGGTGCAACCAGAACAATGACCGGGAAAGACCGCTCCTCAGGGCTGCGCTGACCAGCTCTGGGGAGCGGCTGCCTCAGGGGCCCACGCACGAAACAACGAGGGCCCCTCCCCACTTCAGGCCCCGAGATGATGCAGATGGAAGCGGGATACGGAGCCAAAGTACAGCCATCGAGGAGAGCCGTGAAACAGGCCGAAAACCAGAAGCCTCCCAAGGCGAGGGGGCCCCTTCCTGAGAAGAGAGTCTAAGGGCAGGTGGTTGGGTTTCAACATTCTGGGAACAGAGCTGAGCGCGCTCCCACAGCTGCGGGAGCTGAAGGAAGGACCTTTGCCTTCCTGCCTGGGGTGGCTCAGACCTTAAGCATCTGCCTTGGGCTCAGGTCATGATCCCAGGGTCCTGGGTTCGAGCCCTACAACAGGCTCTCTGCTCAGCAGGAAGCCTGCTTCTCCCTCTCCCACTCGCCCTGCTTGTGTTCCCTCTCTGGCTGTCTCTGTCAAATAAATAAATAAAATCTTCAAAAAAATCAAATCAAATCCTACTCCTGCAGTGCTGGCTCCTGTAAAGTAGGGGGAAAAAAATCACATGTCAACACACTTTCTGTGTTGCACGGATATCAGTGCCTGATTTTCCAGCTGCGTGTAAATTGGCGTGAAAGGGACACATGTGGTAGAAGAAGCTGGTGTGCAGGTGGCAGGCGGCTGCGTGTTCTGTGTGCCGTAGGACCGAGCAGAGTTTCAAGCATCATAGCTCTTGTCCATTCTGTGGCCCCTGACTGCGCCGTCTGTCTGTCTGTCTGTCTGTGTGATGTTACAATACGCTGCCTGCGTGTCATGGGGGGGGGGGGGAAGGGCCGGTAAATTACCATGACAATCAGATCCAAGCCCTTGGCCTCGAGTTCCTTCTCATTGTAGCAATCCTGGATTTTTTCTAAGGCTTCTTTTTCTGGTTCAGTAGCACCGACTAGATCAAGGCTGAGGTCCAGCGGAAACCTCTCTCCAATGGCCAGGGCACCAAAGGCAAAATAGAAAATGGGGCAAGATTTCACTGAAGACACAAACAGAAAACACCTCAATGAAAGAATCACCAGGGCAGGAAGCTCCTGTTTCCCCACTCCCAGGACTGCTTACATCCCAGATGGAGAAACCAAGACACTCTCAGCAGAAGGGAACAGCGTACCAGCCTGCCTGCTTCTGACTTCCGTAAGCCCCACTACCCCCAACGAACTATCCCCTACTTTGTGCACAACTAAGGACCCCTCCATCTCCAAATCTCTCCCTCCACTCTGTGACTGGAAACTTCAGGGGGGCTTCTGCAGGACTCCTGGGCAATGACCTCCCAGCTGCCCCCTAACTTTGTCCCTAGAAGCTACTTGGAGATCACCATGGGGGGTGAAGGAGTGAGATAGAGCGGGACAAGGATCAGGAAAGCTATCTGTCCCTCTTTCCTACTCTCACCCATCTCTATCCCCAGCTCCTGGGTCACCAGCAAGGCCAGCACAAGCAGTGTCCCCTTCATAGTGTCAGCCACCAGAATGTTCTGCTCAGGGCAGCGTTTCTGCGGCTTTATAAACTACTAGCTCCCTGAGCCTCGCCCAGACCCCTCCTAGGTGCTCCAAGGGCCTATGGGCAGGACCTGGCACGTGTGGCTCCCTCAGCCCTTGGGCTGAAAGCCTCCTGGAGAGGATGTGGTTTTTTCCCTTTGCCAAAGACCAACTAGAGCTGGCATTTCCAAGTGACTCCATCCCGAGCCAACTGCTCTGTTGTCCCAGCCCCAACATTGACCCCTGTGGCCTGCAACTCGTTCCCCCAACCTATCCTGGCTTCGAGTGCAGTACATTCCCAATCATATGAGGTGTCAAGGACAAGTCTACGCCACTACAGGTTGACAAAAGATCAGCCAGCCTTTCCTGTGCCTACGTTGAAGTCCTGCAGATACGTATGGGGTGCTGAGCCCAACTAGACCCTCTTGACCACCTTCAGTGCTGCAGGCTCTGGACCGAGCCCCAGGGATGCATGGGCACCATTCTTGGGCCCTGAAGTACGCCCCACCAGGGAAGTCTCAGGACTCCTGACCGTTGCAGGGCTCCTCAAGGGCTGATAACACTCCCAACGGAGGATCATGTTTCCTGTTCCCTTCTTGCCCTTAAAGGAGCAAATTCCTGGGCACCTTCTGGACTCCCAGTGGGTCCAGCCTTGGCCCTGTCTCATCCCCTTCATAGGTGAACCTGGTCCCAAGAGGAGCTTGGGCTTAACAGCCCATCCAGAAACATCGGTGAGTAGTTGTGGAGTTGTGCAGCTTGCCGCCTGTACCCACCGCGGGCTGGAGCTCTACAGACCAGAGGGCGAGGTCAACCAGAGGGGGCGCACCATCGGCTTAAACTCCCTCAAGAGTTAAACTCAATCTTCTACTCTAGCAACGTGGTTTATTGGCACAAACAAGGCGAGACAGTCCATGAAAATTCTAGAAGGAAAGCTCCCAGGGGCCAAATCTGGAACAATTTAAGCAATCACAGAAATGACATAGTATTAGATGATAACCCAAAGTATAAAATTGTATCTGTGCATCCATACTGATATAAATAAATGATTTAATAAATAAGTAAATGGAGAAGACACAGATATTCCTCACAGAAGCAGTCCAAATAATACACATAGATACTCTCTCTTCAGGAACCAGAGCTCATTGCCCTGTCCTCCTTGTGAGTAGGCTAGACTTAGTAACTCACTTCTAGAGAGTAGGGAAAGGAGGAAACCATGCAGAAACCTAGCAAACCCAACATGAATCAAACGATCAAGGCCAATACAACCAGTGGTGAGACATACTGATGTCACACATGCCACATGTGATGTGACATATGGCACTTCCCCTCTTTGGTGTCTCCTTCAAAACCCAAGGTCTGAACCCCAATCCAAATTAGAAGAAACGCAGCAGCCAAGTCAGTTTGGTGGACATTCTCTAACCCCTGGCCCGTCTTCAAGACCATCACGGCCAAGACAAACAAGGGAAGACTAAGAAATTGTCACAGATCAGGAGAGAGTGGGGAGACGTGACAATCAATGCTGTGTTTAGGATGTGGGTTGGATTCTAGAACACAGGACATTAATGGACAAATTGGTGGAATCCAAATGAAGTTTGGAGTTTAGTCAGTAGTGGTACACCAATGTCAGCTTCTTGGTTTTGACAAATCTTTGCAGCTTTTCTGTAAGTCTAGAATTACTCTGGATAAAAATGAATTTAAAAAAAACAACACTTGCATTAGTAAGGGATTGCATATACTGCAAGACCTTGTCCAGAAAGTTCCCCCAACCTCAGCAAATGTCCCCGCCTCTGGAGAGATCTCAGATGGTTTTGTGGCACCCGGTGGGGTTGGGAGGACATCAGCATCCTGTGTTACTCCAGCACCCCAAACTCTGGCTTCATCGTCTCCCAGAGCTGGGGAGAACTTGAAGGAAGCACCTAGTGAAAGACAGCAGACCCTGCCCGGGTGTCCCCACCACACTGGAATTCGGTCCCGCAAGCGTGTCCGCTCGGGGGCCTATGGTGCTCACCTTCCCAGGCCAACAGGTGCCCAGGAACCTGAGGGACATCTGCAATGGCCTGAGCCTCTCGTGAGATGCCCTCACAGGCATGGCCTTTGGGCATCAGGACTGGAGCGGTTCCACGGCAGCCACCTGATGGGGGAGCTCGGGACTCAACACCCTCTTTGCCAAGAGCAGTTACCGGATGTGAATCCTGTTTGGCATAAGGCTCTGACTAGGGTCAAAAAACGCGTGCCCTCCCTTCAGCTCTGGGCTCCAGTAACCCTCTTCTGACCCGATGACTCAGAGTAAAGAAAGGCCACGCAGGCACTGCCAGCAAACGAGCCCAAGCAAAACCATTCCTGGTGGTTAGCTCCGCAGAAATAGGGGGTTCCTTGTGTTCCTCTAGCGAACATTCGTGAAACACCCACTATGTGTCCCCGTCCGGGGGACGCAGCACCACACACAGCCAAGCCCCCCCCTTTCCCGGAGTTCATTATACATCTGAGAGGAAGGGAAAGACAATCGATGAGTGCCAGGGAGAGCCAGGGAGGGAGATGAAGTCGGGGAGGGCAGCGGGGCGGGGGCCAGGCTCCAAGGGGTCAAGCCCGTAGCAAAGTCTCTCTGATATGGTGACATTTGAAGAGACCTGAGCCATCAGGCCACGTATCATGTTCTTGGAGGAAGAGCCTTGCAGGCAGCGGGGGCAGCTCGAGCCAAGGCCCTGCTGCAGGGGTACAATCTGGAACACAAAGCAGCCGGCCACAGGCCCGGTCCAGAAGCGGCAGGGCGACCAGGGAGCGGGGACAGAAGGGCAGGGAAAGGCCCGGGCCTACAAGGCACACGGGGACTGTAGGCCAGAGAAGCGGCCTGGCTTTTCCTCGCGTGCACCTCTGGAGACAGAGCGGCGTGGACCGTGTAGAGAAGCTCAAGAGAAAAGGCTGGTGGGGGAAATGCTGTTTCTGAGGCAGACTGAGGCACTGCCAGAGAAACCAGGTGACAGGGCTTGGTCAGCATGGAGGGGAGGATTCGGGGCTCCAGATACAGACCCCAAGGACTGGCTCAAGGGAGGCCACTGAGCAGGTCAAGGACAGAGACGATGCTGCAGGCAGGGGCTTCCTCACTGTGAGACCATTAGCTAAGCACTGGGCTTCCTGAAGAATCCCTCAGCTCTGCCCAAACTGTCTCTAAGGTCACAGGTAATGAGAGGCTGACATCGGCCATCATTCGGGAAGCCTGATTTGGGAGACTTTTGCCCCTTTTCCCAGTCAACCTAGGAAATTGCAGTTCTGAAACCTCTGGTGTCAGCTGACACTTGGACAGAGTCCTCGGATGGGGAAGGGAGGTCAAGTTTGTGTCCTTTGTTGACTCAGGGACTTAGAAAGTCGCCTGCACATACACCTCATCCCTCCGTGGCCCCCAGGCAAGTCCAGGCTGCAGCGAGGAGAGGCCTGGTAGGGCCTCCTGGGAGAGGACCGACCTGCTCCTCCGTGGGCATAAAAGGACTCCAGGCGGGGCAGGGAGCAGCTGCCACCCACATCATGAAGCCGCCCGGTGCTCTCCTGCTTCTCCGAGCTGCCTTGCTCCTGATCTCTGGCGGAGGTGGGCACCCAGGGCCCCAGGTTCTCCAGGGGTTCTGATACCTTCCCAGGGCAGTTCTGAGCCTGTCGGGGGGAGGAAAGGAGGAATGTGTCCCGGGGAAGGTCTTTCAACAGAGTGTAAGCTTATCTTTGTGTTCTAGATTGTAAAATTTGCTCGTCTGTGGAGCACGATGTCACCCTGTTCCTCACGGGCACCCCTGACGAGTATGTCCAGCAGGTGGCCCAGTACCGAAACGAAACTATAATTTTGGAAAATGCCAGAAGCCTGAAGGAGTGCGTGGACGGGAAATTCACAGAAGATGACAAGACAAATGCTATGAATGTGCTGGTGGGTCCAGCTCTATGTGTCCATCTCCCTGGCGCCAGCTGGGGGTGGGGTGGGGTGGGGGGCCACCCATTTTTCTTCTCCACCATGGCCCTTCCCTGGGAATCCAGAAAGAGAAAAGCTTCATGGATGGGGAAGTGGAGAGGATGGTGTGGGAAAGACTCAGCCTAGCCCGGGGCTTTCCGGCCAGCGCTGGCTGTTCAGTGCTGCCCGGCCACCAGTCTGGGAGCTGGCAGGCCCTCCTGTGTCCTTGGCATTGCCTGGCCTCCGTGTCAGGCCCTCAGCGCTGGTCTCCCTGACTCCAGCCTCTCCAGCATGTGAGCCTGGATCTTTAAACTGTTAGCACGGGGTCCTTCCTGTCTCCCAACATGGGTTCCTTTATTTAAACTCCTCAAGTTCCCTATTCCTTCCCCCCCTAAAACCTTCATTTGTCCTCATTCCCGGGGTCCCAGAGTGCCATTCCATGCCTCACATGCCAGGAGAGCAGAGGGAGGGGGAGAGGAGGGGAGGGAACGGGGAGAAGGAAGGGGAGAAGGCAGCTTCCGAAAGCCCCCTCCGGCCCTTCCCAGGCCCGAGAGGCCCCAAGTGGGAAATCACAGTGAATCCTCTCTCCACTCTCCCAAGAGGAGGAACAGGCTGCTGCTCCAAGCCCAAGGGTCTGGGGGCAGAAGGACGAAGCAGAGCCAGAGACCCCCAGGGGCCCGTAGGTGCACCTGAGCCTGCCAGGACCTTCTCAGCAGCCACTTTCCATCCCATCCCACCACAGTGATGCCTCTGCTTCACTCTGCTCCACTGGAGGAAGCTTCTAGGCACACCTGGGGTTCTCTTGTGGTGCAGGAGGTGGGGGGAATTCACCTTTGCCTGCCCCAATCGAAGCGGTCCTCCAAACAAAGCTGCAGGCTGCTCCCGGGGAGTGTCCAGTGCGCCCTCTGGGAGGGCTCCAGGGCTCTGGTGCCCCTTGAGGCCTTACCAGGTTTCCTGCCTTTCTCTCTGCAGAATAAAATATACTCCAGTCCTTTGTGTTAACGGAGCCATCTCTGCCAGGAGCCCCAAGGATGTCCCTTGGATCGACTCAATAATCTCAGCGGCCTGCCCCGTCCCGGGGTCTGATTAGAGGATTCCAGCAATAAAAGCCTTGCAATTTACAGCAGTGCTTGCTCCTTGGGCTGGGCTTTGGGGGCAGAGGGCTGTCACCTCGGGGACCTCCAGGGCGCCTTCCAGCTGCGGCTAGGTTGGAATGCTGCCCATGTTCTTCCCCCACAGAATGCCACAGGTGGGGGTGCGGGTGACAGTAACCGGGAGAGCCAGAGTGTCTGAGCACTTCTGTGCCCCAAGATGCACGGGTGGCACAGGCCGCCTTGCCCCAAGTGACCCCGGCTCCTGGCCTATGGCCCGCCGTTCTGACCCCCAGGGTCTGGCTGGGGGCTGCTTCTGAGATGGAAAACTGTCCCTGTGCTCGCAAGCAGAGCCTAGGGGACACCAGCAGGTTGCGGGGCACAGACTCTTCCCATCACCCTCGCACAGGTGACTCAGGCTGCGTATCCCGCCCTTCCGCCATTCTACACATTTCAAAGCTCTTGGGCTTTCCTCAGGAGAGCTGGGCTCTGAGGGAGAGGAGCTGGAGGGGTCTTCCAGTGTCAGGGACAGAGACTCACCCTGGCCGCAGCGAGGGCAGGGAGTGACGGCGCCCCCTCCACAGGTGAGACTATGATGAGTGATGGGCACTTTGCTCTCACTAAGACACCATCAGTCTCTCGACTGTCGCTGTGTCCCCACAGAACCCCCTGGGCATGGCTGCCCCACGAGCCATGTCAATGCTGCCCATGTGCCCTGCCTTCTCCCAGCCTAGGGAACCTTCCCTAATCTGGGGCCAGGGTCAAAACTCAAGTGCAGGGGCGCCTGGGTGGTTCAGTGGGTAAAGCGTCTGCCTTCAGCTCAGGCCATTGTGTCAGGGTCCTGGGATGAGTCCCACCTCCAGCTCCGCGCTCAGCGAGGAGTCTGCTTCTCCCCCTGCCCCTCCACCCACTTGTGCGTGCACGTGTGCGCTCTCCCTCTCTCATAAAATAAATAAAATCTTTTTAAAAGTCAAGCTCGGGTGCCCTTCAAAATCCTGTTCTGTCTGACATCCAAACCTCGGTGGCTTGAGGTTCTCAATCTCTGACTCTCACGAGACCTTGACTCTGAGATCATAAAAGCCCCACTTTCGTGGAGGCTGACCGAAATTCACCCGAAGCTGAGGCGGCTCACCGGCTCCCGGAGACCTCTTCCCTCGGCAAGCACCCGCACCCTCCCTCACCTGCGCCGGGCTGTCCCCACCCCAGGAGCTGCTGACCCCGCCCCAGGCCCGCTCTGAGAGCCTGAAGGAGTTTACGCCCACAGGCGACCCTCAAACAACACTGACCCCAGCCTCCTTGACATCTGGGGGGTCAGCGCTGGGGTGAACTCCGCCCCCTCTGATAAGGTGCCCCGTGGTCTCGAGTCCCAGCTGCCCACGCTGATGGCTTTTCTCACCTTCCTGTTCGACTTCCCTGAGCTCCTCCCTGAGATCACCTCCCAGATAAACCGCCCGCCCCCAAGTCCTTGCGTCTGGGTCTCCTTTGGTGGCAACACAAGCCGACACACAGCGGCCTACACCCAGCTTCCTGATCGAGAAGGAAAGGCGACCAAGTAGAAGAGTGGAAGACGTTTGGTGAAGGCGGCAAGAGGAAAAGACTGGAAAAGCCTAAGGAGCGTCTTCCTTACCGAGGCCGGGAGGGGCAAGGCCAGACTACCGTCTTTCAAGAGAGACGCAGAAGGCACAAGAACAAATCAGAAGGCTAGCTAACCCGTTGTGGTCGAGGTGCCCAGGAAAAAATAAAGCAAGGCCCGAGATTACCGGGGAAGGCCCAGACTAAGAGAGATCCTGAAAGGAGACCCAGAGGAAGAAGGCAAAAGGGGCTGCAGGCGGGTCATTAAAGTCCAGGGAGACACTGCACGACCCGGTGCGGGGCACGGAGTGCTCACAAAACCCTGCACCTCTCAGTAAATGCCATGAAGTGGGAAAAAAAAAAAAAAAAAAACAGTGAAAAATACATTTCTGGTTCTCTTTCTCTTCTCAAAAATCCCATGAAAAAGATAGTAAAAGAATTTAAAAGTATAAGCCCACGTGGACAAAAGGCACAGTACAGGGCATATCACCAGGCGGTTGAACACAGCCTGTTTTCAGAGAATCAGGTGTCTGACTTTTAATTTTGGCTCAGGTCATGACCTTCAGGTCGTGAGATCGAGCCCCGTGTCAGGCTCCGTGTGGGGCATGGAGCCTGCTTAGATTCTCTCTCTCCCTCTGCCCCTCTCCACCCCCACACGTTTTCTATCTCTCTCAAAAAAAAATTTTTTTTAATTAAAAATAACATGTTTTCAGAGAACAGAAAGCAGAGAAAGATATGCTAACTCCAGGCAGAGAAAGCCACATCTACTAAGTAAGGGAAAAGCCAGTTTTTCCTACAGAATTCCAAAGAGGTTTGGGCTTCTGAGGCACTGGACAGAGCAGTAGGTAAGAGTAAATAAAGCTGCAAAACCAGAAGGAGGCAAGGGGTGGAAAGTTTCTATGTGGAACCACTGAAATCTCTAATCTCACGCCCCCATCCGTTTCCTGCATCGAGGTATACGGTGTCCAAGAAGGAAGCTGGAGAGACAGTATGATGTCATGGTTAAGAGCATGGACCCTGGAGCCACACTTCACCCGTTCAAAATTGCTTGCATTCAAAAGATTGGTTAGAAAAGTACCACCAGGGGCGCCTGGGTGGCTCAGTGGGTTAAGCCTCTGCCTTCAGCTCAGGTCATGATCTCAGGGTCCTGGGATCAAGCTCCATGTTGGGCACTCTGCTCAGCAGGGAGCCTGCTTCCTCCTCTCTCTCTCTGCCTGCCTCTCTGCCTGCTTGTGATCTCTGTCAAATAAATTTTAAAAATCTTGAAAACAAACAAACAGAAAAACACTTATAGATATAGAAAAGAAACTGAAGTGTTACCAGAGGAAAGGGGGTTGTGAGGACAGACGAAATAGGTGAGGGGGACTGAGAGATACAATCTTCCAGTTATAAAATAGATAAGACATGGGGATATAATGTACAGCATAGGAATACACTCAGTAACATTATAACAACTTTGGTGATAGAGTGACTAGACTCGTTGTGGTGGCCATTTTGGAATGTAAATCAGTACCGAATCACTACATGGTACACCAACAGGTAATACAATATTGGATGTCAATTATTCTTCAATTTTAAAAAAATGGAGGGGAATAAAAGGATAGATTTTCATGTGTGATCAAAATTAAGTTGTTATCAGTTTTTTTTTAAGATTTTATTTATTTGACAGAGAGAGAGACAAACAGAGAGGGAACACAAGCAGGGGAAGTGGGAGAGGGAGAAGCAGTCTTGCCCCAGAGAAGGGAGCCCGATGTGGGGCTTGATCCCAGGACCTGGGATCATATGATCTGAGCCAAAGGCAGACACTTAACGACTGAGCCACCCAGGCACCCTCAGTTGTTATCAGTTTAAAACAGACTCTTACATCATTAAGAAGTTTTATGTAACCCTCATGGGGCCCACAAAGCAAAATTCTACAGTAGTTACATGAATGAGAGAGAGAAAGGGATCAAAGCATACCACTGTGGAAAATCATCAGTTCACATAGGAAGACAGTAAAAGAGGAAGAAAGGAAAGGAACAAAGAACTACAAAACAGACAAAACAACTAATAAGGGGCGACTGGGTGGCTCAGTTGGTTAAGTGTCTGACTCTTGGTTTCGGTACAGGTCATGGTCTCACGGGTCCTGAGATGGAGCCCTGCAACAGGCTCCACGCTCAGCCAGGAGTCTGTCTGAAATGCTCTCTCTCTGCCCCTCCCCTCACTTGCACACACACATGGTCTTTCTCTCTAAAATAACTTTAAAAAAAAACAATAAGATGGCATCAATAAGTCTTGACTTACTCATAATTACTTCAAATGTAAGTAAGTTAAATTCTCTAATCAAAAGGCATTCGGTGGCTGAATGAATTTTTTTTTTTAAAAAGGTACAACTAGAGGAGAACCTGGGAGGCTTAGCCAGCTAAGTGTCTGACTTTAGCTCAAGTCATGATCCCAGGATCCTGAGATCGAGTCCCACCTTGGGCTCCTTGGTCAGCAGAGAGCCTGCTTCTCCACTCTGCCTGCCTCTCCTGCTGCTTGTGTTCTCTTACTCTCTCTCTCTGATAAATAAAATCTTTTTTTAAGATTATTTATTTATTTATTTGACAAAGAGAGAGAGATCACAAGTAGGCAAAGAGGCAGGCAGAGAGAGAGGGGGAAGCAGGCTCCCTGCTCAGCAGAGAGCACGATTAGGGGCTCGATCCCAGGACCCAGAGATCATGACCTGAGCTGAAGTCAGAGCTTAACCCACTGAGCCACCCAGGTGCCCCAGATAAAAAAAATCTTAAAAAAAAAAAAAAAAAAAACTGTCATAAGAGACAAAGAAGACCAACATATAATGATAAAAGTGTCAATTTTATCAGGAATATTTAACAATTGTAAATACATATGCACCCAACATCAGAGCATCTAAGTTTTTTTCAAAGATTTTATTTATTTACTTGACAGAGAGAGAGATCACAAGTAGGCAGAGAGGCAGGCAGAGAGAGAGGGGGAAGCAGGCTCCCCACTGAGCAGAGAGCCCGATGTGGGGCTCAATCCCAGGACCCTGAGATCATAACCCGAGCCAAAAGCAGAGACTTACCCCAGGTGCCCCAGAGCATCTAAATTTATTAAGCAGATACTAGCAGCTCTGAAGAGAGAAATAAGCAACAATACCATAATAGCAGGGAACTTCAATACCCAACTAGATCATCTAGGTAGAAAATCAATAAAGGAACATTGGACTTGAACCATATTTTAGACCAAATGGACCTAACAGGCAATATAGGACATTCCATCCAACCAGAAGAATACACATTCTTCCCAAGCACACACCGAACATTCTCCAGGATAGATCATACGTTAGGTCACACAACA